CCCCTCGATTTTGAAGGATTAATTTGACGTGCTATTCTATTGGTCAATGCCTGTGACGCTCAATTTCGTCATTCGAAATAATGTCCATTTTAAAGGAAATAAAAGCGTCATAAGCCATTATCTTGTTCAATTTTGTGAAAAAATAGAATGCTAAAAAGTATTTAAAATAAGAGAATTCAATTGCCTAAGTGGGCTTAAATAGGGCCATAATTGGGATTTTGGTGGTTTCCTGTTAACAGCGACAGTAGCGACAGGAAATAAAACATATTTTTTGTGCAAATGAAGGGAAATTTAGTGTTTTGCTTCGTCATGAGCAATGTCAATCAAGCAGAAGATGAGGTGACAGTTGATTACTTCCGGGACTTTTAGAAAAACGGATTTTGCTCAATTAACCTATCATCGGGCTCATCAATAGCATAATTAATCGAGGAAAGTGCGAACGTTTGACACTGACTTACCTTACTCTAGGAGAACTGATAAAACGTGCCATACTCAAACTAATGTCAAAAACAACCGTAAATATGACTCGGTTCTTTAAAGATTTATTTTTACTTTATAAATATTGCTGTGATTTCAACAAGACTTCCTAAGACCTTTCGGCCAATCCACAGTCAGTGTATTTGGCGTTGCCTGATTGGCTGTCAAATATCTTATCACATTTCCTCGCTTAAGTGACTTTCAATCCAGATACCTATTCGCCGTGTTGTTGTTCGGTCGGGCGCCTGCTCTTTTATTATGCTTCCACGAATTATCCAGTTCCTGAAGGGTAATCTTTTCTTAATCCTCACCATCTTTGCCGTGGCGCTTGGTATTGGCTTGGGAATTTTACTTCAGTTAGTGAATCCAAGTCGCGAAGTTCTGCTATGGGTTGGTAAGTGGTGCCTTAAGTTGTTTTGTTACGTAGGTTCTATTCATTAGCTGACAATGGGATGCCTTGCCGCACGATAATTTGATAATTATTGATTTCCATCAATTTACTATTGTTTTAAATTGCACCTGTCCATGTAATAGAGCATTTGCATCAAATTTCCAAGCGCTTATCGATATGTATTTATTTCTACCTATTTGCACTTTAATAACTGGAATGTCTTAGAAATTTAGCGCAACAATAGATAAACAGGTATTTGTTGTTTTTCATCGAAATGGGAATGGGATGGGGATCTGCATGACTTTCAAATAACTTTTAATTAGGTAGGACGAAAATGTAGTGTAACTATTTCAATCTGCAAATTAAGGAGCCCTAAATATGATGGGTGTCTCTTTGACCTTATCGTTGAGAGTTATAAATTTCACGCTTTAAAATAAGATCAATTCAAAGTCAGTCGGAAGTAAACACAGAATCTGCGTCTGTCGTAGGCATGGAAGCATTATTTCTATCGCCATCATTTTTTGCTTTCGAGAGCGGGCGGATAGTAACAACAACGACATTCAAATATAGGACTATAAAGTGGGTGATGGTTAATTAAATTTACAGATTTTTTTAATCAATATCACTTTTTTAGGTATGCCGGGAGATCTCTTCATTCGGCTTCTCACGTTGACAGTGATTCCCCTTATTGTTGCTACCGTCATAAATGGTGCGTCGAATTTGTTGCCTTTGTCTCTACGCTTAATCTAGAGGTCAGTCTCATACTAACTCGAAAGTACGCGTTTGATATACACCATTTTAAACTTTGCGCGTCGGTATATGATGGGCGTGCCCACGAATGGGAAGCTCACTTTTTGAAATAGGTGGGGAAATTCGGTTCCATTGAGAAAATTTATAAGATGCTTAGATTTCTAATAGCGTAATCTTAATTAAAAAATTAATAAGCAAGGAGAGTAACTAGGTCTCCGTACTCGGGCCATAGTTGAATAACTACACAGTGAGGAAATGGAATCGTTTGGACAAAGGATTACGCAAATATGCCATCATTCTCCTTTCTCACAGAATTTGAGTCTACGATCTTTATTTGTAAGACTAGTATGGCTTGTAATAGCTATAGTCCAAACCTCATGACCATTCAGCGAAACTTTTCAATGTTTGTACTCAATGTTTGCTATTTCAGTAACAGCAACTCTGGATCCGAAGGAGAATGGCAAGATCGGTTTTGTGGCATTCGCTTTCATCACGACTTCCAATTTTACAGCGGCTATCTGTGGTGCTGCAGCTGGTCTTGTTATCAAACCAGGTTAGTTGCTCTATTTCACCATCACTAATATCCGGTGTCTACTTTGTTTGAGATCATCGGTTCGGTCTTCTGTCTATGTTGGGCATGTAGAAATAATTTGAACTCGGGATAAGGAGTTTAGAAGGCAAACTCGCGACTGGCTTGGTGCTAGAACAAATAATCATTCCATTCATTCTTTTTTGTGTAAGGAGTTTTAGTCATTGAGGGATTACAAACAGCATCTGGAGGCATTCTCCTTTGACATTTATAGTAATGTATTTAAAGCATATATAGCAAAGCAGTAATGCTACGGAATTCCCCCCTTATTCACTTTTTTTCCAGGTCAACTGACTGTTAAAAATGTTTCCGACTCTAACAAATCGTTCATGGCTGAAGGTGTTATACAAACCTCCGATATCTTTGCCGATATGCTTTTGTAAGTACACTGTCTTGGTTACAACTTTGATTACTCTCCTATGCTCTTCCACTTTCATGCAGTTTCGAATGCTTTGTAACTATTTGTAAAAATTTATCCTTTGAAAGTAGATTCACTAAAGATGGGATGTGTAGTTTTAATATTCCATGATTTGCGGGTTACTCCATTCTCATGCCGATTTACATGTGCTGGTGTTGGTGTCCCCATGGTGCTGAGAGCATAACAAATGTAGAACGCGGAAACATCCTCAATATCATTGTTCCTTGTGTTCCCAAACCCACCCCACCCCCACCCCCTATCTTAGTCTTCATCAATTACCACCTCCATTCTTCTTCTTACCTACCTGCGACTAGGTAGATTGGTGGATCTAAACCCCACCTCAGTCAATTCATGGCCACTTATTTGCCGACATTCGCAGTGTTATGACAAACTCCTCTCAATAGGTGAAGTTGATCCTCGCACTTATTCCTAAGAAACATGGCATAGCTTTTACAGAGCGCAAATTCTTTGTTGACACTTATGTCCTTACCTTTGAATATTGCAATAGCATCTGGCAGTAGTCAACTCTAAATGATTCTTTTTGCCCATTCATTTTTCTTCACCTTTTTCGTAGTTTAGTTTCTATTTTATCCGCAAACATATGCGCAGTTTAGTCGGGATAGAGTCGATAATCTCATCATGAAAAGTGGCTAGTAAATACAAAATTAAATAGACAAGAAAATTGTTTTACTTTTGACCGATTTTACTCATGATAACCACCAATAACGTCTGGTGTAGCCTCAATTCAGTTCCTTCCCTGTCTTAGTAATACAGAGTAAGCTGGCCAACTCTACCTGTGAGGAGTCACAAGATGTGCCTTCATTCTATCCATTAATTGGCTCACTTTTGTCGTACCGGCAAGGTGATCATTGTCAATCTCGCTCCATTCCATCGGGTTAAAATCTGATTGGGGGTGGGGGGTGGGGGTAAACATTGCCATTAGTGAATTCGTAAAATTGTTTGAATTTTACTTGCGGTGTGATAGAGGGCGAATCTATACATTTAGCCTATTATCGGTGCTCACGATCTTTATCCAGGCCTTTACTACAATAGTGGTGAGAAATTCTTCGTATCTAGTCTGATTACCGTGAGGAGGGGGCCTCCTTTTCACATTTGGAGTGGGTGTGGGGGGGGGGACCACTCACAAACCATGACAGTTTGGCGTAATTTTGTCTGCTTGACTCTAGAAGCCTCCTTTGGATTCTATGCAGATCAAGCCATCCGTTTTTCTGCGTTGTGTGCTTTTTCATCCCTTAAGAAACCGATCGGATTTCAGGAGGATACTTCACTTTGCTGAGTTAAGTCGCCGTTTGTCAGACCATTTTCTCTGGCCTTTTCGCTAAGAGTTATTTCTCAGCCATGATTGAGCGAGTTTGTAGTGACGAATGTTTTCACTTAACTCTAGCTTTGTGATTGAGGCTGAAACATTCAATTAACTGTGCGAGTAAAGACCGAACACTTTCTGTCGCCGATTTTATCGAAAATCATATCAGATCAGTCTATTATGTTACCTTCTCACCACAGCAGTCTCGTAGACACCGCTTCAATACTCTAGTTCATGTCGAATTATTTTTATAGTGTTCGGGGGTGGGGTGGGGGGGGGGGGGGGGGGGGGGGGAGGGGTTGAGCAGCGACCATGATCTCCCTATTTCTTTGATTGGTACTCCATTCATAGTTTCATCACGTATACGAATGAGGAAGGACCTAAACGTCTAATGGAAACGTCGTATGCATGAAAAACTTTAAGACTTCTGGTGGAAATTAAATATTCTTCTGTCCATGGAGACTTCATTATTTCGATTTATATTATTGATTAACCTAATTGGTCATACTGCTATATATTTTATTAATTTTATTTTAGTAATCTCTTCCCAGATAATCTTATTGGAGTCCCGCTATTCCAGGTGACTTTATTTTCTATTAGCATATTATACGTTAATTATTAATTACTTCAAATGATCTAATTACTTTGGTGGTGTTATATCTCATCATTACTATTTGATGCGATTAGTTACTTAATAATACTATTAACTTGGTCTGATTTTGATGAAGTTCGAATCTATCGATTTCCTAGGTGCGAACAGCCTACATTAATTCAGGCAATGCAACAGAGCGAACGGTGAAAAAGATCGATTCTGTGAATATGCTCGGTAAGTGAAGTTTATGACAGGGACGGTTTCATAATCGATATTCATAGATAATTAAATGGGCCCCTTCATTTCAACTGTCAATGATTCTTACGTAAATGTTCCATTGTGTATTGAAATCATTGAGTTATTAAATTCGATTACTAGACTTTTAATACCTCCTATTTCCGTCTTTGAAATTGGCTCAAAGTAATTAATTTATTTTGAGATCTTTGGGAGTGTTTGTGCCATAGGTGAGTAGAGGATGCCAAATCTAGCTCATATGCTGCGGGTAGGTAATAAATAAAGCTACGATTCAAAATTTTCTTTCTTTGAAATTACGAAAGTTATGGGAAGATCTAAACTTTCGGAGGCAGTTTTACTCATAAATGTTTTCCAATAATTATCTCTACTTTACCTTTTAGGTACTTACTTTGCCATTAATCGATTTTACTTATCCCATCAATAACGCCTTTACTGTTATTTTTAAATATTTATTGATATTTCTTACGTGACTACAAAGTAGTGGTAAACAAATATTTGTAGTTATTTCTTCACTTAAAAATGTTCGCTTATGAAGGTGAACAAGTTATCGAGTAATCATTGGCTTTCCAGGTCTTCTTTTCTGTTGCTTTGCGTTTGGAATTGCTGCGGGCAACGTCGGTGAAAAAGGGAAACCGTTTCTCAACTTCTTTCAATCAATATCTGCCATAATCTTCAAAATTATGAACTTTATCCTTAAGTAAGTCCCATATTCCCACTTTGGAGCCTGTTTACTGTCCCAAATTTGGGTCAATAGAATGTGTGGGTGAGCCTTAAATGACCCATGAAAAACTTCGTGGGCAGTGGCTAAATCTCAAAATTTTAATTTGCCTTTGATTTTTGGATTCGAGTCGTACAGTGGCTTTATAATGGTTACCTCACGCTCCGTCGTCTTAATTATTCAGCAGAAGAATATCTATGCTACTCGCGTCTAATTGGTTGGTTATTTTATTATTGTGGTCGGTCTTGTCTTGGGAATTGCTTTTTTATTCCTAAAGTTGAGAAACCAGTTTAATCTTACTTAACTTTAAAGAACACATGATTTCGGCATAGTGAAATAGAGATAAATGTTTTTAGCGAGTCTACCATTTGCCTATTTCATCTGGATTTTTCCTTTAGATTCACCCCACTCGGCGTCTGCTTCATGATCGTCAGTCCAATTGCAGGCGTAAAAGATCTCGGAAACACATTCAGCCAATTAGGTTTTTTCATGGTAACAGTGATAGTTGGTCTTCTGGTCCATTTAATAATCATCTTTGCAGTGTATGCCATCTTTACCCGTTCAAATCCTTTCCGCCTTCTTCCCTATACCTTCAAGATTTGGCTGATTTCTGTCACAACTCTTGCTCCGTAAGTTGGTTTAGCAAAATAAATCCATTAGGATTTGTGGCATTATATATACCTGTTTTTATGACTTTCAGAGTTATCACGATCCCGGATATGTATGACGCAAGTGATCGATTTGGAATTGACCGACAGTTGTCCAGGTTTGTTGTGCCGCTGACAGCGGCTCTGAAGGGTGACGGTTCGGCTGTGTTCCTCTCTACTTCGGCTATTTTTATTGCCCAGCTGACAAACACGCCAATAACCTCTGGGATGGTTGTCATTATTATGTAAGTTGATTTAGCTACATTGGGTTCATTATAAGAGGAATCAGTAAATTCAGTATACTCTAAGTACTCTTGCCATGGCAAACAGGTGAATGGAGGTGCACCTATAAGAGAGCCATCTGTTTAAAAATCAGTTTTCTATTCATGTTGGATAATTCCTACGCTTGAAAATATTTGTTTTATGCTGAACTTTGAAATGAATATGTCTAAAACAATTTGACAGAAAGGGGGGTGTGCGATAGACTTACCTCCACGTGGTGCACCCTGGGCAATGTGTACTCATACGACAAAAAGGTCTATTAATCGGCAGTTGACTTCTGACTTCAAACTACCATCACCTCACTGTATGTCATATTCGACCACATCCACAGTACTCACCTCAGCTTTTATCTGCCTTTTTTCTACCTTTGTCTTTGAAGCACTTCTGCCCCCCCCCTCTCGACTTTTTTCACTTTAATGTTCCTCCTCTCTCTCTGTGAAGCCCGACGTCAACTAAAGGGCTTGTGATAACTATCAAAACGCCTGCCATTTGATATAAATAAATAAGTTTAACAGAAAGGAATGCCTATTGAGCTTAATCTCGGCAATACATCTAAAACGTATCTATTAACTTCATTGTTGCCCATTGAATGGCATTTGAAAATGGGCTTTCAAACAGGAGAGGAATCTAGGTCTATGTTATCTAACGCTTAGTATCTCCTATAACAATGGCAGATGCTCTTATAAAGATTTATTGAATGCAAGGCAAGTAGAATCAACAATTTAAATAATAAAAATATCATTATTATTTCAAATGGCAGGCGTTTTGATAGTTATCATTAGCCATTTAGCTGACTTTGTGCTTCACACAGAGGAGGAGGAACATCAAAGTGACGAAAGTCGAGAGGGGTACAGAATAATAATTCACAGATGTGACAGAGACAGAGAGACAGACAAGAAGGCAGAGAAAAGGTAAGATGAGTACTGTGAAAGGGGTCGAATTTGGCATACAGTGGGGTGATGGTAGTTTGAAGTCAGAAGTCAACTGCCAGTTAATAGACTTTTTTGCCGTATGAGTTAACGTTGCCCAGGGTGCACCGCGTGGAGGTAAGTCTATCGCACACCCCATAATAAAAATATAAATTCAGACATATTAATTGGAATCCTTGGCCAAGTCACTTCTGACCAGAGTATTTCAGGCGGTATATGCACGTGAAAGACCATCAGCATTTTTAAAAACGAAAACTGAAAACGATGTCGTGTCTTTTCGTCTATTACTATGCGCTTTGACCTCTCAATTGCCACTATCTGTGGATAGAAATGCATTTAGTGTGAAATTCCTAGTGAATAGTTGAAGTTCACGTAAATGAAACCGAAACGTGGTAACATGGATGCAGTAAAAGGATGCTATTTAATCTTAACTTTTTCGTTGGGTTCTGGTCCTAATTGAGCCTAAGTTACACCTTTTGAGATAGTGGATTGGAAATGCTTCCTACTACTCACCTGCTAATTGAGTAATTTTCCATGAAGAAGACTAATGGTGTTTAATCCCTTCCGTTTTCAGATTGCTANTATAAAGACAACTGGGGGTTATTAAGATCCCAAAACTAAGCTAGTTGAGGGGGCTCGAACTGTAGACTAATTGGAAAATGTGAACAGTTGATAACTAAGTGTGAGAGGTTAGGCGAGTCAAGTGATGATTGATTGGGCATGATCGGGCTTTTTAACCATGCCTTAATTCTCGTGTTTTCCCCAGTGCATTGAAAGAATTTTTCGAATTTGGGGGTTGGATATATAAATAAATAGGGTCTGACTCAATAAAGGAATCTGTGGCTCGAGTGAGGTTCACTTGCATTAACTTAATCAAAAAGTAAAAATTTGATTGAGAAGCAAGGCTCTGGGGTTCAAATAATTATTAACTAGTCGGGTGATCGGATGTTGCTGCATATTGATTATGTAGAGAAATTGTGTTAGTTCGGGCCTTAGTTGGATTCAGCGCCTTTTGATGCACAAGTTTAAAATTTGATAAAATTTCACCATATATGCACCCGGATACAGTGTTAAGTAATTTCAGTCGATGCAGCCTGAATCTGTAAGCTAGAAAAGACGTAATAGAGGTTCAATTGTATACCTGAGAGACCTTGACCGATAATAATCTAGTGTTTCGATTTTGACTACTTTAAATTTACTTCACTGGCCTACATTGATTGGTGGACAAATTCAACTTCTCAATGAAATTGGGCTGGAAAAGATATCTAAAAGAAATTAACGTGTAGCGAGTGCTCTTAGTTGTCCAACTAGCCAGGGGAAAGTACAATTCGCTTTCAGCAAAGATGCTTGATGTAACTTGCTCCAAATTATGATAATTTGCTTCCAAAGTTCTGAGAACGCAGAATATATCATGAGGAAAGTGTTCACTGAAAAGGTTTTGTAACCGTGGTTTTAGTTAATGCCTCTCTGCGCGGATGATGATAGCCTACATACTGGGAGGCCGTAGCGCACAGATACACATCAACAGCGTGATTGTACTTTCCAGATAACCTGGATAGTGTGAGATCCCATTGGTCGGCCTTGATAGCGTTGTAAAGTCTGCGTATATTGGCATTTTAAAGGCAATTGCGGATGTAAAGGCGACTCATGTGTGCAAATTAAAGCCCATATTCTCCAAATCCGATCAAGACCTATGTTTTTAATAGGTTGCACCCCCGAATGCAATAACTCATTTTTCCCTTCAATCAATGATGTCTCTGGTGAAGCCTTGCCAAACAGACCTCCTGGAAGCCCAGCCTCTTCCTACACTTACTAATGAGGTGCAATCAAGTAATCCGCCGTCATCTAAATTTGCGCAATTTGGGGCCATAATTATGTGGCGTTGAAATGGACTTCGAAGTTCTAAATCCACGACTAATATTTTACTGTCATGCACGTCCCAGTAGGAAGAATGGCACACTTATCCCGTGATTCAATAGACACTCAAAGTAAAAGTAGTTTTAGCCTAAGAAAGTGGATTAAAGTAGGCTTAAACTAAGTAGTTTGCCCGTGACGCGTTTTCTATCTGTTAAATTCATTATTTTCCGGGGATATTAAGCCATCAAGTTATATTAAGAGTAAAATCTAGTTACCAGAAATGTCATTTCCCGGAATTGTGAATTCAGGCACACAATATCAGTTCTAAGGGAAGTGTAGAATTCAAACTTTAACTTTCATGATTCGTCAGCTCGGCTACTGGGTAAATTGCAGTGTGTAAATGAAAGGCTATATAGAATGGGTTATCGCTTATCTTTCTTTTAGTCAACTTTGGGGAGATGGCGTATCTTGACTTCTGCATTCAGAACTTGAAAATAAGGATTTACTTATAGTAATTCACTAAATAATGATAGCTCAAAGCCAGGAATGTGCCAGGAACTTTGGCACTGAAGGTATTTTTTATTATTAGGGGCCTGTAGACACTTCTATTACATTTAAATTTGTATATAAGATTCCCTTTTCCGATTTGATAATGTAAAGCTGCGAACTACGATGCACCATCAATATCATACCTATCTATTTCTTTTATTTCAACGTTGATAAAAGGGGGTGTGCGATAGACTTACCTCAACGTGGTGCACCCTGGGCAACGTATATTCATACGGCAAAAAAGTCTATTAACTGGCAGTTGACTTCTGACTTCAAACTACCCTCACCCCATTGTATTTTATATTCAACTACTTTCACAGTACTCACCTCACCTTTTTTCTACCTTCGTCTTTGAAGCACTCTTCTGTTCTCCCCCCTCTCGACTTTTTTTCCCACTTTGATGTTCCTTCCCCTCTGTGAAGCCTGAAGTCAACTAAAGGGCTAATTATAACTATCAGAACGCCTGCCATTTGATATATAAATAAATGTTGATAAAAGAGCAGAAGATGGTGGCTCATCTGTTCATATCAAATGGCAGGCGTCTTGATGGTTATCATTAACCCTTTAGTTGACTTCAGGCTTCACAGATAGAGAGAAAGGGGGAGAGAGAGGAGGAGGAGGAACATCAAAGAGAAAAAAGTCGAGAGGGGAGGGGTGGGGGAGGACAGAAGTGTTTCAAAGACAAAGGTAGAAAAAAAGGTAGAAAAAATGTGAGGCGAGTACTGTGGATATTGTCGAATATGACATACAGTGGGGTAATGTAGTTTGAAGTCAGAAGTCAACTGCCGGTTTATAGACCAGGGTGTACCACATGGAGGTAAGTCTATCGCACACCCCATTTGGCTCTTCTGTTTGGGTATATATGGTCATAATAGACAGCAATTAGTGAGCTTTAATAACAAAGACAAATTTGCTTCTAATAAACTTAATCTCTGACTTCATCAAAAATTTTTTTAATTAATGAGAGGAGATAATTATAGTAAATAACATTGAAACTATCCATTGCTCATCTTAAAATGAAAACTTTATAAGGAAATGTTTAGGTACGAGATTTTAGGTATCTCAAAAATTTAATACCCACTGCCACTATTATTCTTTGCAAATTATACTGAAAAGTTCATTTGCTTTAAATGCAGATTTACTCTCTATTGTAAGCTTAGTCACTTTTGTTAGGGTTTGAATTGATGCAATTAAAGATTATACATTTCAAAATTTTAACATTTGAAGAATACCCAACTTTAAAAGCTATTAATCATTTTAAATGAAAAACAAAATCATCTTCATTGAACATGTAAATAAATCCTTTAATTTTTTAGATACTGACCAATTGCAAAAAATAGAAAACTCGTCCTATTAAATAATCATAAATAAAATAATGAAAGCAGATAAACTTAAATCATCTTAGAATTGTAGAATAATTTGTGAATAATTAAATGGATCTCATCGTGAACATTAACCCAACGCTAAGTAAAATCAGACGATTTGACTTATTTGTGACCCTATTTATAAAATATGCCAGTACTACCATAAGAACTATAAATTTTGATAATTAATCAGCATAGACTTTGAAAAATATGCAGAAAATACCGTAAGGGGTTGTCTATTTCAGTTTAATATTACCTTGAAAAACCATGGTTACGCGTCATGTGACAAGTTCAATCTGAACATTATGATTTACGATAACTAAAATTCCGCAGAAATTTCTTGTCGTTCTTAAATATTGGATTTTAAATACAATAATAAGTTATCTGGTTGCAAGTGTCGCAGTTAAATGGCCGAAATCAAAGCAGATTTTATCAAGAGTACCAGTAAGATATTTTTGGATATAATAATGAAGTAGATAAAAATGAAAATAATGAAAATATGCAAAAATTAATGAGTATAAAGCCAGAATGCATTGCTGTGAGTGTCAAATTTCCATATAATACTATTATGGAAATAAATGATTTGCCTGAAGATTTGCCACTTGATTTACTTCGTCGTGTTGTCGCACGAGAAAGCGATGTCAGTGTAAATGAAGCGAAACTTTATTTCAATGGAGGTGAAATTAAAAGCGGGGTTTCTCCGAAACGACTTTTTAAAGGAATAAATGGTATTCCAGAGATTGAGTGCCGATTCAATAGTTCTTCAAAAGCTACCAAAGTTCATCTTGGAGAACGTGTTTGTAAATATTCTAGCACAGATGAGATCACTCTTTACATTCATAAAGGAGAAGAAAAGAACAAAGATACTCAGCCCGATTACCTTGATTTGCATTTGGATAGTACAAAACAAAAAAATGTTCTACATGTCATTGAAATCGAATGGATGAATAATGGAAAGAAGAAACCGTTCCTCGGTGGCTATCGTAGGAAAATGGATGGAGCTATTTATCATAATGCAACTGCTCAAACCAAGCCAAAATTGCCTAAAATTCCACCTGTACCCTTCTTTACAAGAGATACGCAAACTTATGAAGTGAAACATGAGGAAATAAACACAGTTGAAGTTTCCTCCACGGCAATGCCAAAACCTGGATTTTTTGTTACAAATCTTAATGATAGAGTAATTACACCAGGGGTATATGAAAGTTTTGAGGAGTATCAGGCTCGGCTCAACCGAAGTGTAAGTCAATGTTTTTCCTTTTATCTTTACATTTTTCGTTAACATCTTCTTACTTTTCACACTCGTATTTAATTTAAAAACAAGATAAATATTATTTTAATAATGGTCACAGAAGAATACAATTAGTGACTAATATATGCAATATCAAAGTAATTGATTGTTAAAAAGGAAATTCAATTTTATGGCCGTAAATTTGAAATGGTCAAGTAATTAGTTTTCTCTTACTATTATGCGTTTATGTTTTTCGAATATTGATTTTAGGCTATTATAATTCAAAAATGGGTGAGGCGCTGGCTAGCCAAAAGAAGAGTAGCGCGTTTGAAGCAGCTGTTACAGGAATATAATGATTTTATATCACAAAAGGAGAGAAAATACCTTCAAGACAAGATTGACCGAGTTAATCAGGAATATGAGAGGCGTGCTAACCCCCGAAATCACTATGATATTGATAGGTTATTCAAAGCCCTGGAGGAGTGGCGATTGAAAGAATTGGACAAAATCCACCACAATTCGGAGGATATTGTTATTCTAAAGGCCAGAATGGCTTTGTTGCTGGATAAAGAGACTGAATTTATCAAAATGATTACAGAGAAACAGAACAAATTATCTGAATGTGGAAGAATGCTAAAAGATAAGTGGCCTTTAGAAAAAGCCTCCCTTCCAATGCAGTGGATTTCTTCAAAGAAGGCAATAAATCTAGAGGCGTTTACACCAGCTATACTAAAAGCACGTGATCTTTTTGTGCTATACGAGAATCTTCGAATGGATTGCCTCACAAAGACCGAGCGTCTGGATTTACTCCTTACAGTTAAAAAATTTGCTGGCTCCTATCCTTCAAAAGTTAGCTGCGATCTGATAGATCTTATAGAAAGGGAGACTGAATTTATGCTTCGTGGCATCCCACCTTCTATGTTAGCTGGTCTTCGTCAACGTGTGCTTCTGTCATTTGTTGGGCTGTGTAAAAATTCTGAATTTAATCCTGCTATCGCCAAATTCCTTCCCATACCTGATAAGAAGATCCCTAACTCCCGAGCTCAAATGTGGAGTGATATATATAAATGCATATCCTGTGGCCGGTTTCTGAGATCCAGAGCATTTTATTTTGGTTCCCGCTCAAGTACTGTTAAAATGTGTAAATTCTGTTGGAGACAAAGCAACCGTGGAATCCGTCGACTTGATTTAGAGCCCTACAAACGGATACTTCAAGATCTGCGAGACTCAGAATCTGAAATTCTTATTAAAACCCAAAGAGATAATGCCATTAAAATGAGGCAACTGCAGTTATTAGCATTGGATAGAGCTGTTGAGGAGCAAATACGTAGACGAGAGACGCACGATGACACTCCAGTGGATGTGAATACGCTTCTCAATCTTGAAGGCGAGCTTCCACAACTTGATATAGAAAAAATGACCAATCACTTCGAACTTATGGTCGATATTTCTGATATTTATTACCTAGTATCCGATGTTTGGGATGGCAAATCCGCATTTTCGGGTTGTTCAGATCTCGATGTGCTGAAATTATGCCGATGGAATGTTAGGCAACCTTGGGCACCTTGGAATACTATACTTCTCACAAAGAAAGAAGCCGATCTACATATGGAATTGAAAGATATCCCATCAAATGCCCTATATTCAGACACATTGTTAGAACGAATTCAGCAGAAATTTGTTATAGGTAGAAACGCCTTTAAGATGTTATGCAAAGTAGGCAAATATTTGATAAAGGAGCCGTTTGAGTCAACAGGGCTGAAACCTGAAGATGAAAATTTGTATTTACAACCACCAGAAATTGTGATTCCTTTTATTAAAGGTGAAAAGAGAATGTCGGATTACGGAATTGACACTTTAAAGGAAATTTGGGATCTTTCTGAAATTGAATTTAAGAACGAAAAGTATCATAGGAAGCTTGATAAACAGAATGTGTAGATATATGAATTGATATCGTCAAAACATATTTTCCTCCTTTGTCTGTATCAATAGATGTGGTCAAGGTTTGAATTTGCACCTTATTGTCAAGTTATGAAAAATTGTGATTTTAGATATAGTGGCATATATTTGACTACCTACTTATTTCGCATAAAGTAGATATTTCATCCAAACTAAACGAATTCGGTTGTGTATTTGTTATTCGTGTGATATTTTGTGATAGTAACATGTTTTTAAGGTCACATATTTCGAAATGAATTTGTTACACACTATAGATCGGTGATATACATAACCCTACTTTTAATTGGAAATTAATTATAGTTATAAGATCCATTTGTTACGTTAGTAACGTAGTTTATGAGAACCTTCCAAACCAAAAGACAGATATATTAAACACAGTTGAATGTCAACTTGAGGTAATTGTGTTGTAGTTTCTTTCGTAAATATTAATCTTTTCGTAAATGATGGGGACGTAGCATCAACGAGTGAGTGATGAAATGCAAGAGGAGACAAATTTGAGAGATAAACCAAACAAAACGGATTATTCCAAGTCAGTTGGGTAAATCATGAATAAAATACAAACGAAATTATTGCATCTCTCTGTCTTCTAATTCCCAGCCAAATTGTTCCTTGGGAATGGTTCGGGACATAGAACTCCGTTCAGACGGTTCTATTGGGGTGGCTCGGCAGTTAACCTAATATTTAAAAATAAAGATATTAGTTGGCAGAAGTAGGAGTTAGAGAAATTTGAAATTATCTCACAGATATTAAATTAGTGTTCGCCTCGAGAACCCGCAGATTAGTTTTGGCTCTGCTATGTTAAAATGATTAACGCTAGTGTCTCCTACGTATTCTTGACTGAAACAGGATACATGATTGGACATGGAACTTGGTATAACTTGGGCACTTCCTTATTCATGAATCTTGTAGCTAATGCCTCAAATTTGAATGCTTGGTCATATTTCAGGAAACTATAACCTCATGGGAACTCTTTGGCTCGGAAAGAAGAGTGAAATAGATTTTGACATCCATATTTTGTCATTCCAATTCCACCCCTATTCGAATGCATCTCATCATTTAGTAACACAATACTGGTTTTACTTTTTGCTTTTACTGAATGCCCAATTATTTGTGTTCAGGTAATGTCTATTACTACTGCCACCACTGTCCATGGGACTGCTGAAATGCTCCCAATTTTAAATTGGGAGGGGGGAGGGGGAGGGGAGAGGGGG